TTCTGACAATTTTGCGCTGGAGCCCTTGAGCCGTAGTAATGTTCTTGCCTTTTAGTCACATAAAAGCATAAACAAACTTTCCGACACAGATGATCCTCGACTCCATGTCCCTCCTCGCCTTGCCTGTCGCCCTGGCAGCGCACTGAGCCCAATACTCCTTCATGACGTAAAATACCCTGAACTCCTAGATCATACAACACGCATAAAGCATACCTTACAACCAACCTGCAATGTGAATGACATTCCCTGTCTGAGTTGATTCGGGTTCCGGGAGCACGGCCCAAACCCTGCTGAGATCCCGGCTGAGGGGCATGGCTCTGGAGCCAGTAGTTCCGAATCTCGGGATGATTTGGGAATCTGAGATCTAAGGTTCACACCATCAGGATTTAAGAATTTCCGGGCTGAAACTTTCCTTACTTTTTGAGGAGGATGGGTTCCTGAAGCGTTAATGAGTCTGGGTGGGGTTTTGGATCAAGATAATTAGCCCTGCAAAGTTGCAGGGTTTGTAACGTTTGCTTAACAACCACTGGGTGAGCATATCATGGTTTATAGGCTTGGGGATTCAGTGAGGTGGCGTACAAGGCTGCACGACGGGTTAAGGGCGAGGGTCTGACTTATCGCCATGCTGGCCGAGGGCGCAGGCTGGAAGCTTTAATGATTTAGGCAGAAGCAGAACCCAATTCGTGGTTGCCTGAACATTCTAGGGCTTGCAACTTAAAGTCTCAATCCATACACAAAGCATAGCCTAGACTATCTCCCTTTCAATTCCAACCTCTGCCATACTTCTCGTCAAGAGTCCGCCCTTGCTGGTGCTATCCGATGCTCCTCCGATGTCAGAAGCCTTCGCTGCGTCTGGTAGAAGAGGGTTAGAGGTCAGGCATACGAGGCAGTGAGACCATCTGTGCCTGGAGATCTCAGAAGCAAAAAAAAATAGGAACCAGCTACGTAAGGAATCAAGGGTTCACTTGTGCTTGCATTCAAGGGACGGCTTCTGGTTTCTCTGCTTCAAGGGTTTTGTCAAGAACTCGGGCTGTCGTCCATACAATGCCCGGCCCAGGTAGTCTGTCACACTCGCAGTGTGTGCAATTGTGCGCTGGTGCCAAGATCGAGCTTTTCAGCCGAGTGGCAAGTTATCCACAAGATGGTTCGCCTCGCGTGAGATGTGTTCGCCCCGCTCCTGCAAGCTCAATTCCACATAATATAAACCACAAGCCCTATATAATCCGTCGCGAAGGTCTTTTAAAGGGAGCCTGCACTACACCCACACAATGCAGAGGCTTTGTTGAACCAGGTCCCATTGCAGGCACCTTTCATCAACGAAGCTTGCTACAAGCAAAGGTTGGATGCTTGAACTTACAACATGCTGCCAACATAGAAACTCGAAAAAACACGTGGACACGGGAACGTCGCCGCTCCAACGAATCCAAGAGCGAAGCAGTATGACACAGCGCGTCAACTGTTCGATAACCGGGACGGATATCAATACAGCTTGTTAGAAGCAACAATCCGGAGTCTTGCCATTCTCGTATTTTGACAATGTACGTACATACGCGAGATTAGTATGTTATTGCCTTGCATTGCATGCGCTTTCACACCGTCCTGCATGCTGTGGATCTTCCCCTTCGTGAGTGCTTTCCTGAGGCGGATGGTAGGCGAGCTTGCAGCGAGTGGGAGCTTATGTAGGGGTCTTAATAGTTAGAATAGGGTTCCTGTAAAGGGTAAGGGATCCATCATAGGGTTCTGTACCATGTGATCGTTAGAATGGAGTTTTGAGCAAATTATACTAGAACTATAATAAGGAACCCCCAAAATAGTATTGGTAATTATACATTTCGGCTCCTACAGTACGGGTATGGGTTTAGTTACATGGGGATGGTGTCGAGCTGCTTCGACGGAGGGCTTCTGTAAGGTGCCCGACCTACACCATCCTCGCTCTAGGGCTTTTGCTCCAGGTACTCGCATGGGAACACCAAAGAGCATGGACTTCTTAAGGAATTCAAGATGAACCGATCTCTTAAAGCCTCGTTGAAATCTATGTCTACAGTCTACACACTTACCATGGATCGGTGCCAAGCATTCGGAACTGAACCAAAAGCAAAAACCCCCGCAAGCATTTCACCTAGGCCCCAAAAAGCAAAACCCTACAGTCCGGCTCTCAACAACCAATCCCACAGTTACTCTCTATATGAACCCAAAAAACCTGGATAATTAATTACCAACAAACGACCCATCTTACATGAACCCACCACTCCATAAGCACCAAGTGGCCGGAAATCGTCGCTACGCATGTTCGAGGCTTCCTGCAGAGCCTTGGCCTTGCGTGGATATCCTCCAGCCGAGGTTTGAGGGTTGGAAGGGTTGAGGGCTGATGGGGTTTAAGCGTTTAGGGTTGAGGGGCCTTGGCTTGAAGGGGTACGGTGTTTACGATGATTGGAGTGTTGCAGGGTTTTAGGAGTTGAAAGGTATTTGGGAAGTTTCCAAATGCCAACGGCTCAGAGAAAGCGGTTCGTGTTCCCACCCGCCCAGCTGCCTGAGATGCAAACCCAAGACATAAAGATCGAGGTTTGGAAGGTTGTAGTTGGGGGGGGGGGTGTTTACCTGCATCGGGCACAACGGCTTCAAACGAAAATCTAGGTTGGCTGCAGCGCGGATCTAAAGTCTAAAGTCAAACCCACAAACACGACGTAATTGGGCTCTGAACTCCTGCGCTAAACACAAACCCCTCGGGTCATAGCTGGGCTTTGCCGGCAAGTAATTACTTCCTCGACATCGCAAGGCCCCCGCGCCTGGTGTAGTTTGGTAGCTTCAAACAGAAATCGGGATCCTCCGTAGGGGCCTTAATACTTAGAATAGGGTTTTGGGCCGATTGTACTACGTATAATTGTAATAAGAAACACCCAAAATGGTCTTGGTACTTATTGAAATCCCTATATCATGCATCTTGTGACAATCATCCTTAAATCAAAAACCCTGGAGTTTTAGCGGCCACCGAACTTGTGTAGGGTTTGGCGGACGTCCGCCGCTCTAAGGTGCGACGTTTGTGGTACCAGAGCACAAGAAATCCAAGGTCCTGTGAGCAGCAGGTACATCACAATGCCACCTGTCAAGCATGCCCCTGAACTTGACACCAATTGTGCCCCAAACTCTAATATCTGAAAACTTGCACGAACCCCAGACAGCTCAGACTGGCAGTTGACCGGAGCCACCTATTGGACCCATAGTGGCCTCCATCTAAGCGCAATCTACCATTCTTACGCGGCTGTGGTGCACTTGCTTGTGACCCCACTACTCCTCCTACGATTCTGCGGCTCAAATCTCAAACCTCCCAGTCGGAAGTCAAGGTTTCAGGTTTCGATGCTGCGGTCGCTGCTGCAGGGGCTTATTATTCAGGCATTTATCACGGCACCTAGTTTTCAGTATTGAGGCTGACGAGTCTGGGGAGTGGAACCATGCTCAGCCGACAAATACTCGAGTGATCCACTACAGCTGAAGCAAGATCAGCCCGATCAAACCCTGCAAATCCGCGAAATCGACGAATTTCAAAACTGCCTCCGGGACTCTCCGAGCTTCGCACTTGAGCCGCGAGCTCTCTACGCCGAATCACCGGAAACTCTGCCGGTGGCTGAACAAGCTTACCGGCCAATAACCCAAACAGGGCAGAGCTGCATGACCAAGCATCCAGCGCTTCTGTGTACCTTGGCTGGGCAGCGGTGATCTACGTCAGAAATGCTCGTCGTGGTACTAGTTATATAGAAGCAGCAGCAGCCGCAGCTGCAACAGCTGCTGTTCGTAGCAGCAGTAGCAGGGTGCTGCTTCTTTGCTCTGTCCAAGCCTGTGCCCAAAGGATTGTACTTACATAGGATATCGTTGTTGTGGGCTTGGCATTTTGCATGCGATTCTGAGTTGCAACCTTGATACTTGTTTGTGCTTTCTCTTTGAGCGGGGGCGGCTTCGCAAAACATATGTTTGACACTGCAGCGACAAAAGCCCTGAGCAGGATCCTGATATCGCAGTAGCCGAGCGTAACAAGTTGCAAGTCATTGGGCAGTCTCCTCGCACAACGGTGCATGAACTTAAGTTGAAGTAGTAGGGTTTTGTGGTCAGCTTTCCTAGAGATACCTACGCTCCGTGTACATGTGTACATATATAGATATACATGCACATGTGACTCGTAGCATTGGCTTGCTATGATTTTATACATACATACATACATACATAATAAATAAATAAATAAATAAATATAAATATATATATATATATATGTATCTGTATGTATGTGTTTGTGGCTGGCTGGTTACGTACTCATCCGCTGAGCCCGCTGAGACCGTCTCCTTGGTGTATAGGTTCCCTGCAACCTATGGCACCGCAGACATGTCATGTAAGACCCAAAGAACCTACACCATCCCCAACAAAATCTTGTCGAACCAAGAGGAATGCATCCGTCACGGCAGCAACGAACCTTTTTGCGAACGAAGCTGGCCCTCTCCTTCGTCTCAACGAAGCCTAGCTAAGTGTCAGGTCTGGGGCTGTAGTTGTGATAAAGTCGAACTTACAAACCTTTTTTCGTTTCGGTTTCGGTAGTAGGGTTTGGGGCAGTCTGAACTAGGATGGGGAATCTTGCAGGGAAATCTTCCGAAGCGCCGGAATATCTCAATTGCGAATACGCACGAGCCTTGAGAGCGTGTCTGCACCGGACCATTGCAATCGGGGATGCGCTAGGATAGGAGGGAAACCTCATCAAACTCGAGGGACGGAAAGTATAGGATCCGTATCCTACTTCCACCTGAACCTGAACACACCACCATCGAACCCTGTCGGAAAGTACAACGCATGATCTGCGCAAGTCTATAGCAATCGTCTACTGCCCGCTTCTCAACCCAGAGAGCCCAGTACCCTGAGTTGAAGTCAGAAAAGCCACAAACCATATATTCAAGTTCCCTCGACAGCTTCAGGGATACTCCGCATTTCAGAAGAACTGGGCTCTTTGGGGAGCCGCTCCATCAATCTAACTCCTTAGCCATCACTTCGAAGTCCACACGCTCACCGTTTCGGAACACCACGGGCTTGTACTGGCCTTTGTTGAAGTGAAGCACGGCTTTTTTGGAGAGCTGTTGGATATTCCGCTTCAATCCCTGCACATGTGCAGGGCTGACGGTCGCGATCTTCTGGCTGTTGTTGTTCTTGAACCGATACCTGCAAGTCACACCATCTACAGCACATTGGAGGACTTGGTGCTACTTAGCTGTGCTTATGTGCAAAATAAAGAGACAAGCGCTTCTGACAAATATGACTCCCTATTGAGGCTCCTCTATCCACTGTCCTACGATGTATGACACCCACAAAAAAAGATTGAAGACTTGGGCCGCAGATACCCTTCAAAGTGTCGGGAAAACCGCGCCATGTCATCCGGCTCTAAGAAGTTGACGAAAGCGTAGCCGACGTTCGTCTTGTTGCGCACATCCATCCTTTGAGGTGATGCGGAAGCAAGCTCGCTGTGGTGCTGACAGGGTTTTCTTAAACATTGCCCACAATGTAAGGAGCCTCGCTACGGTGCAGCTGGGCGTCGGAAGGTAGAAGAAGTCATAGAGCCCATTGAAGCCTTCTGCGTCGATCTCCTCCAGCAAAGACTGCTGCGTGAACTTGCTGGGGATGTTTCGAAGCCTGCAGGAGGGATTGACCCAAAAGGGAAGGACCTACAGGGCTAAGCTGAGCCTTTGAGAGCAGCATGAGAGCATGAAGGGTTTAGGACATGCCTGGAAGTATTAGAGAGATGATACTTCCAACATCACAGCCCTTGAATGCACTTTTGTGCTTAAGGGGCATGGCAGTCGTCGGGGGCTCGTCAGCTGTGGCGTTCGCTGCAAGGTCCGTGTCCTTTGGGACGCTCGTCGCGTGGTAAGGCTTGAACTCCTCGTCTCCGAGCTGTGCAAATTCTTGAGCTTCCGAAATCATAGAAGTATCAATGTGTACTGTAACGGGTATTCAACAAAACAATCAGTTTAGAGAGAGAGAAAGAGAGAGGGAGCCAGCGAGAAACACACAAAACAACCACAAAGCGTCTGAATCATCTATACAAACCCGTGCAGGTCCTTCTTGAAACCCGCAGCCGAGGCATTGCGCTTTCGGGCACCCTTGCCTGGGCTCTTGTTGCGAAACATAACTAAGGGCTACAAGCAGAACGTCAAGTTCCCCGTACCGGAACATACAGTGCTTCATTTGCGGGCCTAAGTGATTAGGGCTGAGGGCTGCTTCCTTCGGGAACCACACTTTTATGTGCCTGAAGGCCCAGTCGCCACGAGAGCGGGAGCGCGATCGACTTCGGGATCCGGACGCCGATCTTCTCCCATATCCCGGGCCACCAAGGGGAGGTGGGTAAGGGTGGAGAGGAGGAGGGTAGCCTTGGTGTTGAAAGGAAACCGAAATGCTCTTATGCATGTATGTATATACATATCTGTATATATTATAATTCTACATACATACACACATATATATATATACATATAGGTACATACATACATAGATATAGATATAAGTGTGTATGGTTATGTATGTATGTATGTATGTATGTGTGTATGTATGTACACACATTTATGTCTATAGATCCATGCTTCCTTGCTACACGTTCGTAGACTTCCGGCTAGACCTCTTGCTCTCTTCTCTGGGACAAGCACAACTTTTACCCTCTGCTGCATAGCTACAGGTCCCATGAACCGACATATCCAAGCAAAAATAAGAGCTATAGACCCCCCAATTAAACCCTAAACCCCTAAGACTCCCAAACCCCTAAACCCCTCGAACCCTCAACCCTAAACCGTGCAGCCTCCCGGAGGGGGGTAGCCAGGTGGAGCCGCATAGCCACCAGGGGGAGGCCAGTAGGGACTGTAGCCAGGCGGTGCCGGTGCAGTTCGTCTGTCCCAGCAGGGAAGGCAGTACCAATAGTCCAAGACCTCTCGACTCTAAAGTTTTTTGGGGTTTGGGGCATTACCTGGACCCCAAAGTATGTAGAATACTACCCTTTTTGCGGGTACTTTGCCATTATTTTACCTACTTTAGGGGGTTTAGGTAGGGTTAAAGCATTTAGAGCCAAAGCCAGAAACAAGCAGAGCACCGATAAACCCCCAAACCTCGAACCAACAACAAAGCACTACCCAATCTACACGCCGATCGCTTCAACAGAAACAAAGGTCGACACGGCCTGGTCCACATGACCTTCATCTTTCAACGCGCGGCAAAGGGCGCAGCGACGCCTACGACCGCAAAATGTGAGCCAACAATCCTCGTGAGGGCTTCAGAGCAGAGAGGAAGGATACGGGTTTCGAGTTGCCCTTCTTTTCATACAAAATATTGTATATAAAACATAATGTATAGTATAAGAAAAATGTGTATATATATATATATATACATATGTACATATTCTGATTCTTCTCGGGTCCGGGGTCACCCACAAAAATACTCGAAGCCCCAAGCTCTCGGTCTCAGGTCCCCCCAAGCCCTACTTGGGATTGGCTCCCCGGAACCCCGGCCATCCTCACAGTACCAGTAGAGGCTGTCGACGTCCCGATGACCATACTCCTCGCAGGACAAGGAATCGAAGGTCGCAGGATTCGACATAGGTGGCTTGTTTGCATAAGAGCTCCGTGTCCTGTGGTGATGAGGTATTCTATGGAGTTTCGATCGGGGCGTTTAGAAAAGGATTCAACCAGCATCAAATAATTATGTGCGGACTGTGGGCAGCTATTTTTTGCCTCCTGCATTGGGCTGTGGGGTTTTGGTCGAACGAGATCGCAGATCTGTATGAAATTCTACACGTCTGATACTAGAAGACTATCGTAGGCGCATGACACAGGCTCATACGACCGGAAGGGGGCTCGGATTAACAAATGTTGTAGCATATACACAATGAATTGGGTCTGATCTGAGATGTGAAGCCACTGCAGGTCACAGCGACAAATACCACCGAAAGCTAATTAACGGGTTTGAAGGGACCCTTCCACACCTCAGAATGCCTCACTTGAACCCTTCCGTAACGTAACAGCTCCTTGTGTTGCCGGCACCGGGTGCAACTCGCAGGCGGCATCGTGTCACGTCATGCTTCGCCAGTGGTGCCGACAGGGATCACCTTTGCCTATATAGAGCCTGCTGGCTGCAGATGGTACAGGAACCTCGATGACTAGCAGCAGCATTTCAGATCCCAGCGCATGTACGTATGCATGTACGTATGTATATGTAAATACGTATATATATATATATACACATACATATACTTGGTTTAGATAAGCATATGCACATACACATATCGTTAAAAAGTCCGACTGGATTGTTGTCGTCAGGGCTATAACACACTTGCCTAGAGTATCCAGCTGTGCAGAAAGGCGTGGAAGCATTTCCACTTGCATCTCCCTCTCTCGTCTCTCTCTCTCTCTCTCTCTCTCTCTCTCTCTCTCTCTCTCTCTCTCTCTCTCTCTCTCTCTCTCTCTCTCTCTCTCTCTCTCTGTCTCTCTCTCTATGTATATATATATATATGTATAATGTATATATAGGTAGAGAGAGAGAGAGAGAGAGAGAGAGAGAGAGAGAGAGAGAGAGAGAGAGACACAGAGAGAGAGTTATACATAATATGTACATATGTACATATATATATATATATATCTACACACATAGTTGCTACTTACTACACGATGCCCCACTAGCCTCTCAGAATTAGCCCTGGGCCCTACTACACCCTGAGGCCAAGTCAAGGCCTCCAAACCGAAACCTCGAGACTCTGACGGGTTCCGGGTTCGGGGATTCAGAGGGCCGACTTCCTTGCTACCACTGCTAACCTGTTGAGGCTGAGGGTTGAGGGCTTGGCCGAAAAATACTGCATACATGATTAACAACAGCTGGCACATTCGCTTCTGTCGTGTCGAAAGCATACCAGATACCGAATCGAGTACGTGTATAGTAACAAGCAGTTAAAGGTAACACAGGAACACACAACCAGATGTATGAGCGTAACATAGACATGTTGATAAGCTGGTGCTCGTGATATTGCGGCTCGAGTTGCAATCCTTCGTGGACCTGTGGCGATGCCTTGGAGGAGCAGAGTGTGTTGGTGTGTTGAACTCTCACGCTCAAGGATGACGACAGGCATGCTTGATGGCCTCATCTTCACATAGCCAGCAAGTAGCAATGAGGGTTCTAAGTGGAGTGCCCGATAACTTCATCCTGTGTACAACAAGTCACCGTATGAAATTGACACTCTTCGAAGATTAGCTGGGCTTCATGCGACACTGATTGTGTGAACGGAGACTAACTGGAAGCACTCGTCGTCCGTTATTGTTGGCAGAACATCTTTGCAACTTGGCAAGGCTACAGGTGGTGAACTGCAACAGAACAGGCACCACATAGCTCAAGCGGACTCAGAAGCAAATCAGGTGCGATAGATCGAAAGACTTCGTTGTTTACCCCGAAGCCAACAGCGTGAGACCGCTGCGTCCCACAAGCCTCATCTGTTCTGTGCCAGGCGGCGTAGTAAGGAGTCGACACTTTCTCTGTCATGGGCTCCTGAAGGTGCTGCAGAATTGGCTGATGGCCAGCAACAAGTGGTCCATCATTTTGCCACTACTTTCAAAGATCTCCGCGGCATTTGCAACAGCACGAAGAGGAGAAGGAGCAGCAGCAGCAGCAGCAGCAGCAGCAGCAGCAGCAGTAGCACTGGTAGTTACAACGACGGTATCGGTAGTTCGAGGCACAGGAAGCTGCAGCGGCAGCAGCTGCTGCAGCCACAACACAATCCAACAGAAGCACCAGCAAAATAGCATCATAATCGAGCAAGAGATGCCTGAAACACCGCTGTTGTTTTTTGATTGAAGCCTCGTTCATCCAGAAGTGTCACCGGAGCCACGATTTGACGGACCAACAAGCAAAGAAGTTGCCGAACAATACGGGATTGCAAGGATACAAGGCTGGCTACTCATTGGAAGCCGGATCGAAAACGCCTTCTAGTCCAAGACATACAGAAAGCACGGTTTCGAAGACCCAATGATTGCGAGATGCTGGTCGCTAAGTGGTGTTTTTTCTAGGCTATTAAATCAAGTCTTGGACTGGAAACCCCCCAACACCTTGGAGAATGTAAACAAGGGCTGAGCTCTGGAAGGCGAGCTGTAAACATACCATGACGGCTTTCTCAGTTGTTGAACCTGCCTTCTGAACTTTTGGAAACCCTAAACCTTGGGGGGGGGGAGGCTGAGACGTTGACCTCTGGTATAAGGCAGGCCGTGGCGAAGTCGCACCTGGGTTTAGGGCTCGGAACTAGACCGCTAGCTTTAGAATTTAGGGTCTGGGGCTTGAGGATTCAAGTTTCAGGGTTCCCAGACACCTTAACCCATAACCCCGAAGGCACAACTCTTCACTTTCTCATCTCATGATGGCCGCAGGCTGTAAACCCATGCCTGCCAGAACCGGCCAGGCGAGGTCTCCAAAACAAGGGTGTTAAGGGTTTCGGGCTTGGGGGCTTAAGCAGTCCGGAGGCCCTTAAAACTTTGGAGCTTGTGCTTGTAGTGTGCATAGATGGGTTGCGGTTCTTGCTCTGGCTAGGATTTAGATTGAGCCGAGGGCTGGGGTGTAAGTGAATCTCAAGCTGGGGTTGTAACCCTCCCTCATTTTCGCACACCCCACAACCTCAACCCTCTAGACACTACACCTTGAGCTCGACTAAAGAAACTCCTCAACGACTAAATCCTCCACCCAGGCACAGTTTGATCAAGGAGTTCTCCACGAGCGACCGTTCCTGGCGAGCACGACAGGTTCAAGTCTCATTCTCGGGCTCATGGAGATATAAGCTCAGCTTAGCTTGGTGTGTTAGCTTGGGTTGGATTTTTTGCGAGGGGGTTGGTTAAGGTTAGGATCTGGCGCTTCTCGGATCTAGGGGTTTGCAGGTCTGAATCTGAGAAGCAGCGCTGGTTGCCGGAACTCTTGGCCGAAGGGATTCCCCCACATTCTCATAAAAGATTCGCATTTCGCTGGTCATGGAATTGGCTCTTCGCCTAGCGCCCGCAGCGGTGCTCCCCGAGTGCCTTCAATAGGATATGCTCGGGCTTGACGTCGCGATGACAGATCCTCCTGTCGCGGGGTGCCGCAATGCTCGCAAAACCCTGCTAAGAGAGATTGGCGAAGGAGTCAAGTGTTAAGTTTCCGACCTGAAACAAGGAATTCTAGCCGCCCCTGCGAGGATCATGCCCGGAAAGCCCCAAAACTCCAAGGAGTCAAATCAGGAGTACACACTGAATTTATGTGCAATATATGATTTTTGGTTTTTGTGCAATTGCCTTACAACTGACAAGCTCTCGGGACAGAAGTCGTCAATTCAGGGCAAATGCAGGTCAGTGACATGGGGGTATTGCTTCATACAGTGAAGCACGAAATCCATTCTCCCCTGCCTACGAGTAGATGCTTATACGTACCTCGTGGCACATAGTAAACCCTAGTGGCTTGGTTGAGTTAGTGGAAATACTGTTTGGGCATCTTAACAGTGTCGGGGTAGCTTCTTGGGGGTGGAGGCGGTTCAGTTGGGGATCAGGATCCTACTACTCCCTTATATTTCTTAATCACTGAGTATTGATGCCAACACCACCCCGGAAAGCAGAACCGGCTCTCTCGATTTGGCACCGAAGCGCTGAAGTCTATGACAGGAGTCTACGAAAACTATCGGGTACCTAAACTCGCCAATGCAGTTCTGATGGCGTGGGCTTCTTTTGATACAGAAGCCAGGTAACCAACAAAAGGAACTACATTGAAGAGTATAGTTAGTTGTCCATCTTCGGCCACTTCGTCTGAATTGCGGTGTCGATGGACAACTTCCCCGCAGGAATGGCACTCAAGCCTCTGCCCAGGACGGAATCGTGCATGTTGTCACAAGAACCGTCGAAGACGGGATGCTCTTCTGATGAGATCTAGCCCCACCTGCATTGTTGTTCGATAGGCGGCGCTGAAGGTACTTTCGAATACTCTGTCAGAAGGACCCTGGGAAAGACCCTTAGCAAGAGACCTTCCTCTTTTCTGTACCGGCTGAGACCGACAACGCTAGCTGCCAAGCCCCATCCCAAACGAAACGAGCCCTGTGTGAAATGAACAGGCAGGGTCGAAACGACTGGCTTCCGAGCGCCATCCCCTAACCAGATGAGCCCTGAGTGAAGTGAACAGACGGCGCCGAAACTATTGGTTTCCAAGCCCCATCCCCACACTAGACGAGCCCTATGTGAGATGAACACAATACAGACAGGGCCCTGCTGACTTCCAAGCCCCATCCCCGAACTACGAGCCCTGTTTGAGATGAACACACGGAGCGGAAATACCGAATTTGGTTTTAGCATCTCGTTGAGAAGCTCAGTTAGACGATCGGTGTATTTTGCAAGTGGGAACTTCAACAATAGAAATTTATCCGCACCCGAAGCACGTACAAACTCGACACGCCCAAACTTGAAAGGCAGCCAAGGGTTCAAGGACTTACACCGCCGCCTCAAACCATGCAAATGCCACAACCGTAAACAACAGACAAGGCTTAAACTAACTCTGCTGGCTGCGGTCAAGCATTGCTGCTACAAACAGCGGCCGGCACCCATTGAGGAGTAATTTCTGCAAGGCTAAGGATACAGTGTATTCCTTGAGAAATTTCTGTTGCTCTCTACAACACCAGAACCAGAGTGACCGCAATCATGTCGTTAAATCTTCGTAGATTGTTGTCTGGGTACGGCAAACTAGACGCACTAGTTTTATCATGGATACTACAGTGACACGGAGTGATCTCTGTCCGGGCAGTGCCTGAATTCTCTCTGCAGCTTCCCGACTCCTTTGTAGCCAGTGCCAGGCTAAGCCTTTTTGCTCAGGCAATCCTGGCTTGATGTCAATGAATCTGGCCTCAAACGGAGCTCGGAAACTCTCCTCTTCCTTAGGAGGAACGAAAATCGTCAATGTCCATCTGCTGGCAGCTCCGTGGAAAACTTTATAGAACCCTGGTTCCAGCATGCTTGACTTAGTCTTCTGTACTTGCGACTCCACAGTCGTCGAGGTGCACGCTTATCTTACATCGAACCGGCC